AGGTAAAGGAGTGAGCCGGTGGCCGGGGATCGAACCCCGGACCAAATGAGGCGTGGTTGGCGAGCATTGTGCCGCTATACCACCGATGCACATGAATGACATATACGGTTGGTTATTCTACTGTTGATGATGAATGTGTAACTGATTGTATACAATATAAAGATTAGTAGACTAGGGTTAACCGTATTAACAGTATTTGTATTCAGTATTATGAATTGTATTACACCAATCACTATAAACGGAATACATTTGAAAGAGGTCACTTCCTTCAATTATCTAAGGCAGAATCGTTTCAATTAAAAGCGACTGCATGGATGAGGATGTCAAAAGCAGAATCAGAGAGGCAAAACAGACAGACCTTCATCACTCTGAAATCAGTTTGGAAATCTGGCAAAGTTAAACTTTAAGCACCAATCAGGGAATGACCTCGAACGCACCAGTCACGTGAAGGAGGCATTTTTGCGTATGGAATACATATGCTTATGAAAAAGATGCATAAAAACTGTAGAAAAGTGTTACAGAGGATAGTTTTGTCTTACATTTGATAAAAATAGCTCCCAGTTTTAGGTTGGAGTATCAGCAGAGTATAATTCCATTGTGAGTAAAATTTATTTTGATGAAGTCTCATATTGTAATACAGTAATATTTACTGGGTAGTAAATTGTGCTCGAAACGTCATCAGTAAAAATTGCTGTATAACACTGTGAGAATTTATCAAAATAAATTTTACCCACAATGGAATTATACTCTACCACAGTGCAAAAGTTCTATTCTTATATCAACAGAGTAATTTAAACACATTCCATGCACGTAATTATATAGGTCTTCTAACCATAACATTAAACCTAATCTTTCATGAACCTAAGCCTAACGTGCAAAATCTCTAAACTAACTGTAATCGAACTCGAACCAAATCTACTGTCGCCTTTGTTAGGTTAACCTAACCCTAACTTGTCCTTGGCTTAAAACTTACCTTAATCTTTCCCAAACCTTAGCTGTAACTTGCCAGATATCCCATTTAATAGCACAACCTTCGATGAGGATATTTTATGGATGACGACAGCACTTTTTGTCAGGTTTCACTAACTTGCTCAGTGCGCGTTTTAAGGTCATTGGTGCAGTCGCACTACATTGGTAGTTAGTGATGCTTAAAGTTTAACTTGGCCGGAAATCTTCTTCACTTCAGCACGTATGTCAGGTCAGTTCTTCAATATGGGTCAGAAACTTGCACTGCGCGTCATGAGAAGCAGACTTTTATCAACAGCTGTCTTCACTAGCTTCATAGTCAAGATTAAATGGCCACAAAAAGAATTAGAAACAAGAAACTCTGGTATACGGCGAACTAATCAAGAACCTATTGCTCAGCAAATATGACGAAGAAAATGAAGATGGATTGGACATACATTGAGGAGACCGTTGAATGATATCTCACTCCAGGTCATTGCTCGAGTGGTACCTAAATGAGAAATGACGGCTGGGATGTTCGAGGGCACATGGATGAGATCGTGCTATGAGATGAGAGATTATGGGGAGTCGTGGGACCAGATAAAGAGCACTTCAGAAAACAAGACAAAATCGAATCGATCCAAAAGTTTACGTTTTCTTCACTTATGCATAGCCGAAGCGAAGGCGAACGTCGAACTGCGAAGTCGACTATCTGTGATCACCTGTTAGAGTCAGGTCATTTAACCCCACGTGATTCATCTTTCAAAGTCATCTACATGGCAAAATCGAATCGATCCAAAAGTTTACGTTTTCTTCACTTATGCATAGCCGAAGCTTTAGCTATACATGAGCAGAAACCTAAATTATGTGTTCGAAAACGTTTTGTCGAACCCCTTTCTTTACCTTGGTCATAGTAATGTTCTTTCTAGTTTTTACTTTATTTTATTTTACCACTTGAATTCTTTCCACTTCACTTCACATCTTCATTCTTATCATAATCGTACTCCTAATTTTTTAAAATTTTTAGACAACACTTGACATTTTTAAAACATTTTGATTTCAATTCACTTATAAAACAATCTTTAATAATTTTGTAATTTATCTACTTCAACTCTACCCCTTATAACATTTTAATTATCGTTATTCTTATCACATATATGTATATTGACTCAGCAATTATTTAGTGCCACTTAATGACCTTTTCTGTAATGTAAATACAGTTGTACAGCTTGAAAATGAAGTCGTTGAAAAGAAATTTCTTCGCTGAACAAAAAAAAAGTGGAGATGTTCTGTTGAAGCCCTGTTCCACTCGGAACCTAAGGCACAAATAATAGAATAATAACTACACATATCGTAAAGTGAATTGAACTGACTGTCTAATTTAGCTAGGAAAGTCTTATAAAATGGAAATAATCATGATTCATTCCTTCCATTCTAAGTGGAAAATAGGGTCTCATAAACACATCTCTATTGCACTCAGCTTTCTAAAATCACTTTCGTTTGGATTCACAAAATGCTGACAAAACTTCCATTTCCTCCTCATATGTTTTCTTTCGATCAACCCTTCGCTTACTGCTCGAATTCTACTAGAGGGCCTCACGTGTGATGCTACTTGAAGATTTCCTTGCTACACGTCCAATCCATCTAGACTTGTTTTCGCTTATTTATTTGGGTGATAAGTTCTTGGCTGGTTCGTTAACAGAGTTCCTTGTTCGTGTCCTCTGATTTATAGTATAATGATGCTGGATAAGATTGGTCCCTAGTGCTTGAGGGTTCCTGATGCCTCGAGAATCATTCTGATCTTATCGTTGGTTTATTTCCAGCTAAATAAAACAATTTTTTTAATTTACGGGCGCGTCAGTGGTTCATTGGTAGAATACTCGCCGACCATACACGTGGTCCGCGGTTCGATCCCTGGCCGACACGCACTCCTAAACTTCAATTGGCCGGTAGTAAACTCAGTAAAGAGTTAAGTTTGGGCATAAGGCTAGCAATCCCACCCCGTAAAAAATAAACACCACTGCTACTGAAACCTTAAAACTCAAGCTTGAAGCCCTTTGTTTCAGCCAGAACGAAAAGGAATGGAATAACAAATGACAATAATTTTAATTTTCGTGTTTCTTCTCAATCAGCTGCCCAAACGCATCTCGCACTATTTGCTTAAGACTAGGAAGACTAAGTAGTTCCATCATTTCACACACAATAACTGTGTCACATATTCCAGTGTGCCTGGTAAATCGCTTCCAGGCTATCTAAATTCTAAATATAACTACGATAACACATAACTAAATGATAAAAATTTAAAAAATGATGTATTTGAATCTATTAAACACTAAATGCTTATGGGTAATTTCAACCTAATTACATTCAGCCTTTTCTGTGTATCATTGATTATGTTATCTTAAAATGGTCCTTCTTTTCCTGCCTACAGACACATTTTTTACAGTAAGTAGGTAACTTAGTTAGTTAGTTAGTTAAAAATATGAAATCTCAAAGAATAATAAACAATTATTAACATTTAAAATGAAAAAATACACACATCATCAACTTGCAGTACAAAGAAGAAGAAGAATGATGTTGTCCCATACACGCACACACACATTAAAATGTGTCCGAATTCTAATTCACCAATAATCATGGAGGATTTCATCATGAGCTGACATCAGTTAGAGAACAACTGGACAGCTGTTTCGTCCTAGTTTGGGACTCTTCATCAGTACGCACCCATCGGGATTTGAACCCAGGATCTCCTGGTTACAAGGCGAGCTTGTAGACCATTGAGCCACTGGGACCCGATCCAATGGTCCTTGAATTCTAACTTCTGCCTAACTTCTAATTCTAACTTCACTAATTATCCTAACGGGTTGAATAACATGGCAATATGGCTTCTAATGTACTGTCAGCCATTTCGCCTTCCTAATGATATAAACTTTTTGGGGAACTGGGTTATGCGGATCAGATTCCTTTTTTATGTAAACCAAGCTACAGTAGACGGAGTGGTTGACAGTCAAGTAATTAAACCAATGGAGCCACACTTTCACATTAATTTAACTTTGTTCAATGATCTGACACAAAATCTCATACAATAAAATTTACAAAATTTACTCAAGAATAGATGAAAATCAAGCCGACGAAAACATAATTCCGTTAAGTAGTACCAAAGTGTGTGCTCAAAATATATCAAAATCGATCTCAATCAATGCTTTTCTATATCTCTATTGAATAATATGTCTTCTGTATCTAGCACTGAGGAGACGAGCGAGTGACATCAAACACAAGGTCGTCGAGTGGAACCCAATTGGTAAGTGACGAGTTAGACGTCACTGCAATGGTGACATGCAGAAGGTCACCTGAAGACGAAATGAAAGGTTCTGGGCAGTCATGGAGCCACCTTAAAAAGACAGCAGAGGATATGGTTAAATGGAGATGTCCTACTGAAGCCCTATGTTCCACTCAGGATCCAAGGCATGAACAATAATAATAAGTAATTTAGCACCTACTCCGAATTGAGTAGTGTGATTCGCTTTCACCGTGAAGTGAATTCCAGTTGACCAGTATCACCTTATGAATGAAGTGTGTGAAATTGAGAAACAACTTGCACACCTATGCAATTGACAATAAACTGTATGTATAGTGTCTGAACTGTAATTAAACTACCCAACTGCCCAAACCTCACTGAATGGAGCAAGATTTGAAAGAGGCACCTAGTGGTTGAAAGTCAAGCGCCTGGATCAATGAGCCAGGGCTTAAAATTAATACGAACAAATACAGCTATTCTTTACTCCTTGCGTTCCGAATTGGATATGGGGCTTCAAACTCTGAATTTTTAGTAGTGGTAGAGTTGGCTTTCTTAAGGGAGATGATCGCTAGTCCCTCACGCCTAACCTTTCCTCTTTTCCCCGTTTACTATCGATAAGGTGAAGTTCAAGGGGTGCTTCTGAGAGTTGAACCCGGACTTCCCTGTGTGAGTGGTGAGCATTCTACTACTGGAGCAAAGATGCACACAAATAAAAAGGAGTGGAAAAACACGAAATACAAAAGTATAACTAACATACCTGATTAATTTTAATACTGGAGAAATTTTGACTCAGATTCGACAACTGATCATTAGATAACGGTGGAGAAGAAAATGCCAGAGTAGCAGCAATAGTAGTGGTAGGATAATATCTGTTATCCTGATCATTACTAATTAGCTGATTATTTCTTGATGGTACATATCCGAATGCTTTAGATGTACCATTTTTATTATTATTGGATAAATAATTGTTGATACGATTAGGACTATGCTGTAGGATTGAAAAAAGAAAAAATATATTTAAAAGAAAAGAAATATTAAATCAACCAGACGGATACAATTGAATACGAACTGACTTCAGTTAGAGGTCAAGTTAAACTTTAAGCACCACTAACTACCAATTAGCGAATGACCTTGAATGGCCCAATGAGTTTCATCCATATGGTTCTATTCCGCCTGATTCGAGTCAGATGTCATGGAAGGTAAGCTGATGATTCTAATATTTCGTAGGAACATTTTTTGCCAGGTCCCATCTGTCCTTAATCCAGATTTTGTATATTTGTAGTTACTGGGTTTTAAAACAGCCTGTGACAGGTGTAGCTGCTGAAACAGAGAAAGTAGTCTCCTATCAACAGTTCAGTGGTACCAGCACTGCAAAGATATCACGTCATGGGAGGAGAAGGTGTCATCCTACACATGGATGAGTGGGAAGGTTATAACTACCTGTCATCATCCCTTGGATATATTCATCACAGAGTGAACCATTCTAATGATTTCGTGGATCCCATTGCAGGGACACACATCAGTTCTATAGAAGGCTTTTGGAGGAGATTAAAAACAGGATAAGGGCCATTAATGGATCTTAAAAGTATGCCATTTTTAGTCATTTAGATGAAAATATGTATAGAATTGATACTCCTATGTTCAGCTGGGAGGTGTTTTTACCATATGTCAGAGAAAGGTATCCTATGAAACATTTTTATGCATTTTCCCCATAAATATATGTTTTCCATAACCGAAAATGCCTCCTTCCTGCGATTGGTGCGTTCAAGGTCATTCGCTGATCGGTAGTTGGTGATGTCCAGTTAGCCGTTGTAAACAGGAGAGTGTTGAATATCTGTTTGCGACTCTTCAGCACTATGCACCCATGATCTCATCAGAGATCGAACACAGAACCCTTAGATTCCAGGTGGAGTTTGTATACCACTCAGCCATTCGGGCTGGAGTCCAATGTCTGGTGAATCCTAACTTCTATCAATTCAGGGAGACCGCCTGCTAATGTTATCAGAGAGTATTTGTCGTTACACTCAACTAAGTGCACCCCCCAGTGGAACTTCAGGCAACTTAATCCAGTCGACAGTCACTAGTGAGCACTAGATTTAATTTTGAAATCTTGCTATGATAACTAATCTTGAAATCAATCAACTCTTCGAAAGCTGAAGCTTTTTTCATACCAAACTCCTAATCAACATTGAAAACCAAGTCTATGCCAGTCAATGATCAATACTGGGAAAAAAATTGAAATTCGCACAAATTTGGTTAGAGGGAAAAACAAACAGTAGGATGCGTTCTGATAATTTTATAGCTTTTCAGGACTACATTTTCTTACGAATTGAGGTGTTCGCTTGCAAGTAAAAATAAAGATAACATTCAGTCAAAAGTTCAGTGTATGAAAGTGCAAGCTCATGGAGTGAGGCTTATTATACCGTTATACATTTTGAGTTATTGTGCTCAAGTATCATCAGTAACTTGGATGTCTGCTTCAGTTTGAATGAATATGTACACAGATAGATAACCATACCCTACATTGACAATAGACTACTAAAGACTTCAAAATTTCGACACACTTTTAATACGCTTTCAGGTTTGTCTGATATTCGCAGAAATACCGACTTTTGACGACTATTGAATCTACGCTGCTGCTCATTTAAACTCTTACAACACACAGTTAGGTACATGATAGAATACCCTTTGATTCAATTAGACTAGAAGAAAAAAAGACAAGATCCATAGACTTCGGGGTTAAGTTTCGTCAACATTTTTCATAACTTAGTCTTATATGTATACAATATAGTTTGATTTAACTGTAGAATGTTAAAGGGTGATCATTTACACATAACCTTATCCATCTAGTCATATTTGGTTATTACTTACATATAGATAAGTATAATACAAGACCACAATATCCTTTCCCTAGAGATATAACTCATCAGTCCAAGTGCCTGACTTCCAAACTACTGGGTCATGGATTCGTACTCCTGCTTCATATGCCAAGGTTTCGGTAACCGAATAGTATTGTTAGCCCTCACGCAACAGGTGTAGCTTGAAGTCAACTGAATAGAAAATGTAAATCTTTGTTGTGTAAAGTCTCTCTTAGTAAAACAATTTGGTAATTTCAGTAGTAACAGCATGATCACCTATCACAATATCCACTTGGATCACTACTTACTGAGAATATAAGCACATATAAAACTTTTGTCAACAGTTGCCTTCACTGGCTCTACACTGAAGATCAGATAGCAGGCCAGAAAGGAATAGCAGCAAGGAACTCAGAGAACAAACCAACCAACAACCTATCACTCAACAAATGTAACGAAGAAAATAGATACTGATCAGACACACACTGAAAACACTTATGGATAACATCATATTCCAGGCCATTCCTTGAAAACGGCGAGTTGGGCGTGTGAGGGGGAGATGACGGATAATGGGCGATCACGAAGCCAACTAAAGAGAAAGGCAACGAATAACATTCAAAGGAGATGTGCTATCGAAGCCTTATGTTCCACTAGGAATCTAAGGGAACAATAATAGAGACAAACCAATCTGTGCTAATGCGGAAAACTGAACCACTTAAATCAATAATTCATATACCACTTTATTTATTTACTCATTAGGCTATAAGAAATTGCCTTAAGTGAAGATGAAAATCTAACCCATTAAACCTTAAAGAGTTTGATAAGTTTGAAAAGCATGAATTTCAATAAACCAGAATGTGAATATAATTTATAAATCATGGGCTATTGGATCGGGTCCCAGTGGCTTAATGGTCTACGAGCTCGCTAGCCTTGTAACCAGAAGGTCCTGGTGTGGTGAGAGCTGGCTGCTAGCCAAAATTGGCAGACAGTAATTTACGTCAATGTTTATGTCCCCAATATTGGTCATGAGAAAAATAAGAACAAAGACCGTTTCAACCTTCAATCACAGCAGACTTTGCGTAGGCGGATACAATTTGCACATAGATATTCTGAACTTGAAGAAACGGCCACAAACAGATGAAAGATTAATGTTCAGTGAGAAACCACCAATCAGAAGACTGTGTTTGTTTCCTTAAAATAATCTATAATAATGTACATGAAAATCTATAAATATCTGTTGATTTCGTAAATAAACGATCTGTTGCCTGGCCCTTGTCTTCTGTTGTTACACAGGGTGTAGGTGCGTACTGATGAAGAGTCCCAAACTAGGGCGAAACAGTTGTCCAGTACTCCCTGCAGGTCTTCCAATTGTTTACTAACTGATTTCAGCTTATGATGAAATCCTCTAACCAATGTAATTTGTGCTAATTTTTTACAATGCACAATGTTTGCTTGCGTTTTTTAAAATGTTCCATCATTGAGTCAGCTTTACACTAAGGTGTTGTTTTCGACTAAAGCCACCACTCTTAATGTCAGTAAAAAAATTTGAGCATTGTGGAATAGATCAAATAAGTTATAATTAAATTTCAATAGTTTTTGGCAATATTTCGAGCAAAATTTACTGTCCGTGATCACAGACCAACTGTTGGAATTGTTATTCAAGTATTGGTTTGTAGGGATTTGGTTGATTGGTTACAGGATTTCATCATGAGCTGACATTGGTTAGAGAACCATTGGAAAACCTGGGAGTACTGGACAGCTGTTTCGTCCTACTTTGAAACTCTTCACAGTACGCACCCACCGGGGTTGGAACCCAGGACCTTCTGGTTTCAAGGCGAGCTCGTATACCATTAAGACACTGGGACCCGATCCAATGGCCCATGGATTCTAACTTTTGCCAATTCACGATATAGCGCAACCGCTATAAATACCTCTCTCTCTCTTTCTCTCTGTCCCCTACAACACATGCATCTATCTATTGCTGATTAGTAGAAAGTAAACAGAGTATTTGTGTTTCTGCATATTTTAAAAGGGCAGAATTCCGTTTATTTTTATTCTCCTCTTTCTTCAAAAATGTAGCGCCAAAATTTTTGTTTGAATTAAAGCGTTCAATAGAAAAGTGAATACTATTCATCCTATTTTTTTCCAAACCGAAATGGGTGGACTTGGAATGAATGAATAAGTGAATGAACTTATGACCTTATATATAATTATTGGTAGGTGAAATAAACATCTAAACTATTGACTATTGACTGTTTCATCTAACAGTTGGTATAGTATTATTATTATTATTATTATTATTAGTAGTAGTAGTAGTAGTAGTAGTAGTAATAGCATTAAACAATACTGTCAGTACGCAGGTATGAATAAGAAAAATATAACAACGAAAGAGGAGGGGAAGAAGAATGAGGTGAAGAATGTTGTGCCCATTTTTTTCAGTCAAAACAATTTTTCAAGAAATCAATTCACAAGAAGAATTTAAATAAAAATGTTAAAATAGACGAAAACAAGCTGTGTAGACATTGTAACATGTAGAAAGGGAGAAAAAACTAGTATATTAGATTTCTTAAAAAAATTAAGATGGACAGATAGGAGGGTAATCTGGAAAAATATGATGAACACAGAAATATAACTACATCATCTTCGATTTCTGCTTATTTCATCTTTTTGCAGTTGAATGTCTCGGCAAGATCACTACGCATTGGCTTTAGGCTTTTGTCGGAGTGTGTCAGCAATTATTACCGCCCATCTGACTACACTGTGGAAGTTGGTTACAACCTTTATATACGTGAAAGAGAAAGACCAGACAACCCACAGGACAACTACTGGAGACCAAACACACACACACGTCCTGTTTGAAATGTTTTTTGGGGTCAAGGTCTCTTAAAAGTTGGCCTTGAAGGACCAATCAAATTTACAGGATGTCAGGTAAGGGATGGTCGTTTATATTGATGAAAAAGTCCTCATAAAGAAGAATTATAATAGGGGAGCGAGAAAGGCTTATCATTTCACTACGTAAAGGTTTGGTGGAAACAATACCCAATAGAAGTGCCGGATTATTATTTCCAATTATTCAGCGCTTGGTAATACCAGAAACGACCACATATAGCGACGAATGGAGGGGATATAACCAATTGTCACCTTTAGGTTATATTCACCATCCTGTAAACCCCTTTTCCAATCTTGTAAATCTAATCACAGGCATAGATTCTAATTCTATCGAAGGAATATGCGAAGGTTGAAGAAAAGAATCAGGAATATCAACTGATCCCAAATTACCATGATTTACAGCCACCTCGATGAATACATGTATCGGGTATGATACGAATTCTGTGGGGATTACCCTTGCAGAAACTGGGAGACATTTTGACAACACACTAGAGACCATTATCCAGTTTTACATCATATTTACAGCGTTTTTAATACATTTTCTAACAAGATAATGCAACTTTTTAGCATCTCAGTTCTGATTGGTTTTTCAAGATCACTGCAGTATTAGCTATGATAGTTTAATTTGCCATTTTCGGAATCGTGTCTATATGCAGATCTTAATGACGGCTACAGACCACTGCAGGGTAAGCTGAAAGGATCGATCTTTTCTGACTTCCCATCTTCCCAGTTCGGATGGGAAGTATACCTATCTTGCTAGTTGTGTCTGAGGAAAACACATCTGTTTGAACTACTCACACTATAATGGTAACTACCTTTGATCTAACCACCATCCAAACAACATTTTTGAGGGCATGGTAGAAGATGCAGAAACATTCACTAAGTCGTTGTGTTATGCAAGTCTGACCCCCATGTTAAGGTAGCAGTTATCAGTTGAGTGACTAGCCTCTAAGCAGACACTTTTGGCTCGTTGCCAAATACATAATTATGAAGGCATTTTTTGAGTAATGTTATTTCAAGTGCCAGTAAAAACAGAAATGCGTTCGATAAAACAAGAAATAGATAAAAGATGAAATAGAAGTTTAATTGAATTTTAGATTTTCCCGTCGATTGATTAGACCGAAGTGCTCGCTGACTCAGGTTGACATGTCTGTTAGCTTCTTGTGCAGATGCTTCGACGATGTCTGGGCATGTAATTATAAGTGAATTGGTGAATGGTGACTAGCAGTGGGATCCAGGATGTGCATTTGGCTCTTGTGGCCCATTACAATTCATGCAGTTACTGGAGTGCAATCTAATAATCGCCTATGAATTCTAACATCTTTCAATTCACTATATATTTTTTACACTATCAATACACTATCCAGTATGAATACATTTCGATGAGATTTATCATGTATGCAATTGTTTTGGGTGTTTTGTTGATTTTTGGCTGTGCAATTAATGATTTAGTTAGTTTAAATATAGAAATTTAATAATCAGTAATAATAATAATAGTAACAATTTCATAACATATTAATACTGTTCGATGTGTTCACATGATTCGTGAACAGTGAAATTATGGGCAGCTAAAACAATAACCTGAAAAGTAAAAATGTCAGGTCAAGTAAACTATCGAATGAAAATAAAGGGGCCTTAAAAAAAACAAGAGAGAGAGAGAAAAAAATAAAACACAGTCTATATCAAAAATGCCACGAGATGAATTTATCATTATTATTAGTATAAGTAGTATTAGTATCAGTATTACTGCTACATATGCAACATGTTGGATAGTATTCGTATGTGTCTATGCTACACTAATGTTTTTTTCTTTGTAATCAGTCCACAAATAATGATTTGAACGTGTAGGCTAGAGGAAAGTTTAATTTTTGCTAAGGTTATCGGTCTTATTATCTTGTGTAAAATTCAATGAACCAGTTTGTATGCATAAATAGGAATAATAATAATAATGATAACAACACAACTCGTGATGATGATGGTGATGTAGTAATCATCAACCCTTGCGCAGTAAGTGTGATTCATCAAAGTATGGTGTGTGTGTGTGCAGATGAAGAGTCTTTGTTGGTGGTTACATGAAGTTTAACTGTTGATACTAAGTAGGGATACTTGTGGTTTGTTTTCAGACTTATACTGATATCATAATTAACGCAAAGTGGAATTTAGAACAAAAACTTAGTTAATTAGCCATAACCACAAGTGGCACGGAATCATACTGTTATCCACGCCGAGAAAAATAGTAAGTCGCATGATTCTGGAGAGAAATATAGGATGCACTGGATGCAGAAGTCCGCCAGCTCGATGGGACAAGCTGGATTCAGGAAAGACGAATCATGTGCTGATCAAATTGCAACTCTACGAGTTGTCATCAAACAGAGCATAGAATGATAGTCGAATCTCTACCACAACTTCATCGATTTTGAAAAGGTCTTCTACAACATTAACAGCGAAATAACTTGGAAACTACTTAAACACTATGGTGTGCCCCTAAATCCTTATCAACTTCATTCAACAGCTGGCTAAATAACAACGCCAAGTGTCAGGTGATCCGCAACGGAAAACTCAGCAAAGCCCTTGAAATGAATACCGATGATATTCGAAATTATCGTGAACTAGATTATACGGAAGACCGTGGAAGCAAGAAGACAGGAATACGTTTTAGCGATGAGAGATCTCGACTTTGAGGGCGATTAATGTCCAATGTCATATAAACTCGAAGACGTACAGGTGAGAACAAGCAAGCTGGTAGAAGAGGGAGCAAAGACAGGACTTCAAGTGGACATATAGAGAAGACAAAGGTAATGAAAATAACCAACCAACAAAAACAAGCACTAATCACTATCAACCGGGGATATTTGAAAGACGTCACCTTCTTCACTTATCTAGGCAATAACAAGGAACACTGGGAACGAACCAATCAACAACCTATTGCTAAACAAATATGATGAAGAAAATCGAGATGGATCAGACACACGCTGAGGAGACCGCAGAATGACACTGCGCCCAAGGGAGGTTCTCAGGTGGAACCCAAGTAGGAAACGACGAGTTGGGCATCTGAGGGTAACATGGAAAAGATCGTGTGAGGAGGAAATGGAAGCTTGTAGGCAATTGTGGGGACGGATGAAGAGAACTACTAAGGAAAGGACGAAATGAAGATGCAATACTGAAGTCATTAATATTCTACTCGGAAACCAAGGGAACAATAGTCATATCATAATAAAGTCGAAAGTGAGTCGGTGGTAAGATGAAAGTGGTCTGGGATTCAACATCCGACCAACACACTATCCAATTTACTAGCCGAAAGCAAGTCCATAGAAGAAGGAAGACTGAGTGTGAGACCAGTAACTCCACCCTCATAAAAACAACACCACACTACTGAAAGCTTATTTTCCACTCAGAAAGCAATGAATGAAACAGAAAGTGGAGAGTTCCAAAAATGACAAAATTATTCAACATTACAGATCAGAAGATAACACTTTTTTTGAGGGATTTTCAATAACTAACATATCTTACACCATTTTTATACAATAGTGATAATAAGTCACTTGACATAATTATCACAAAAAATAATAATAAATGTTCTAATTACGCATATATAATTAACACATTTTGTGCTTTAAAACATACCTGATTTGCATTTCCATATTGTGAATGTGCATATAGCTTAGGCAATTGACCCATTGGAGGTGCATCTAATTCATAATTATACATTTCTCTTAAAGAACCACTACTAGTTATCTGTGGTTCATTATGATTATACCTTGAAGATGATGATAATGATAATGGTGATAAATATTTTGATGCATTTCCATTATTATGTGGAGTATCACCAGTACCACCACTACCTGTAGGATGACGCCAAAATTGATTAACCTCAGGAGATGGACCAGCATCAGCACCTGAAGCTGTCAGTCGAGGTGTTGACCGCCAACCAGGTGGATGTTCATAATGAATTAAATACTGACACATATGCGTGTAGGTATCACCTTCAGCTGGTTCATTCGCGTAAACCTCCAGTCCATATTCACCTGTTAAAAAAAAGGAAAATAACATCAACAGCAATAATAATAATAACTTTTCAAGTTTGATAACAGATTTATATCACTTAGAGAATCATTGGAAACCAGGTATTAGTGGAAAGTTGTTTCGTCCTAGTATGCACACGCTGGAACTCGAACCCAGGACCAACTGACTAACTCTTGAAAAATAATCTGATGCCCGCTAGTGACTGGCTACAGAATGAAGTTGGCTGCAATTCTAGTGGGAATTCGTTACCAATGGGATCCTTCCGATCAGGAGTGATGACAAATACTCAAGGATAACATTGTCTGTATGGTCACGCTAAAATCACGAATTATTAGAAATTAGAGGTCATGGGCCAATGAGTCAGGTCCCAGTGACTGAATGGTCTACGAGCTTGACTGTTTTTTTCTCTTTCTTTTACTGATTAAATGGGGAACTGGTAGAGCTGATAAGAGTTTAGAATTAAGGTAAGCGTGTTCCAACTGACTGACTGACTATCTTCAACGCAGAACTTTCCACAGAAGTGCACCAGTTCGAGTTGCCACATTCCATGTAGAGCAAACAAGAAGATAAAAGAGAGGAAAAGAGATTCAAAAGAATGATAATAAGCAGAAAAATGTGAGGGAGAAAGAATGGTAACGATAGGGTTTAATGGATATACGAGTTCACAAAGAGTGACTGCACCTTGGTCATTGACAACGATTTCGAACCATAACACCGATTGTCTTCAACCTTCTAGCTCTTTTCCAACCTGATTTTATGTCAGCTAACACTGCTCATCGATGAAGGTGGTGGCTCGGCATGCGTAACATATGTCCCAGCCGTCCCAATCGATTCACCTTCATGACCTCATCAGTCAACTTACCCTCCTTACCTAAAACACTCGGTGGCTAACCTCACTATTACTTACCATATCATACTACCCAACACGGGAGATAGAATGCAGACACCTATGATAGTGGTTTAAACCCTACTTACTTTCCTTTTAATGTTCAATGTTCCTGAATGATATAATGTGATGGTCTATACGATGTATACTACGGAACGATAAAATTGCTAAGACACTACTCATATAACAGTTAGTTACTCATATACCAATGATTCTGATGCACAATAATTGTTTGGTTCAATCTAAGAATAAGATCATATTGCGGTGCATAAGGGCTTGTACATCTCTCACACGGATAAACTGTTCAAACTAAACCATTTCTGAATGAAGTCGGTAGGTAACATTTTTAAATTCGAAATAGAAATCATCATACATTTTCATTGTTAAAATATGTTTCATAGAGGAAGAAATAAGTATTTTAATATTAAAAAAACAAACAAAAACAATTAAAACTGCAATACAGTGAAATTTTAAACAAACAACATCCATATGCATTAACATCATCACAGTTTGAAGACAATGTTACCTAATTATGATTAATTTTTTTTTAAAAGAGAATTAGCCATATTAAATTCTAGGGTCCGTTAATTAACGTTACGAGTAATATACAGTTTTAGCTATACATGAGACTAAAAACTACTCTTATGACTGACTGGTTTCAACGTAGAAGTCTGCACAGATGTGCAGCAGTTCGCGTTGCTACTCTCACCGGTCAGTCGGTCGGTTTTCGATATAGAACTCTGCACATATGTGCGGCAGTTCAAGTCGCCACACTTCATGTAGCACACAAAGCAAGAGAAGAAAGTAGGAGAAATGCATATTAGCGACAGTAAACAGAGGTGTGAGACAAAGGAATAGTAATAACGAAGAACAAAACAGTTTATTTGGAAATCATAAGTCACATCTGCGCATCTGCGCCACTGAGAACGATTTTGAGCCATGTCACCAATTGTTTCCAGCCTTCATTGGTGTTTACCGTTCCGAGGACCCCAACCAGGAAGTCTACACCTTCCTACGTGGCTTAGACTAACCGTTGTAGATTTCATTGACTGGTGCCATGTTTTCGTTTGACCGCCGCTAGCTCTTTTCCAGCCTGGTCCTATATCAGCTAACATTGCCCATTGTCGAGGAAGGCGATGACTAGGCATACGTAACACATGTCCTAACCATCTCAGTCGATGTAATTCCACAGTTTCGTCGACTGATTTCCCCACCATACCTAGCACTCGACGCCTAACCTCGATATTGCTCACCTTATTATACCACTTCACGCGGGAGATAGAACGCAGACACCTATGATCGAACACAACTAATCTTTTCATGTCTTCTGCTCTCAATGACCAGGTCTCACAGCCATTAAGGAGGATGGAGCGAACTGCTGAGCAGTACACACGCCCTTTTGTTGCTACTCTTCCTCCATATTGCAAACAAACCAAGCGAAGAGAGTAAAGAGAGATTCAAAAGAAAGATAATAAACAGAAGTATGAGGCGAAAAGAATAGTAATATGGAAGAGCAATAGAGCTTTATTGGATATGACAAATCACAAAGAGTGAATGCATTTGCACCATCATTAAGAACGATTTTCAGCCATATCACCAGTTGTCTCTAGCTTTCAATGGTTCTTACCATACCGAGGACCCCAACTAGTCAGGAGGTCTACACCTCCAAACGTGGCTGGCTGTTGTGGTTTGACCACTACTGGCTCTTTTCCAACCTCACCGATCCTATGTCAGCTGAAATTGCCTGTTGTAGAGGAAGGCGATGGGCTAGGGAGGCATGCGTAACACATGTCCTAACCATCTCAGTCGATGTAACTTCACAGCCTCGTCGATTGATTTCCCCTGCTTACCTGGCACTCGACCGATGCCTAACCTCAATATTGCTCACCCCATTATACCACTTGACATGGGAGATAGAATGCAGACACCTATGATCAAAGACAGCTAACCAAGATTTTCATGTCTTCCACTTTCAATGGCCATTTCTCACTCATAGCCATAAAGGAGGACAGAGCGAACTGCTGAGAAGTACACACGTCCTTTGGTCGACATCCGGATTTCACATCTACTAAGCTAGAGATGGCATAGGTTGGCATATGCCAAACGAGCTTTCAGTACCCGTGGTGAGATCTCGTCAGGTATCAGTCTGTTGGGGCTGATGCATGCAACTCCCCAAATAAGTGATATGGTCAACACGCTCTACCACTTCACTTCCTATCTTTATATCAGAAGCTTGATAGGCAGCTGTGTAGGCCGATAATGAAAAAGTAGTCAACCTTAGTTGATCGTATCTATTAACCTTTTTCCTCTTCTTCTTCATCATCATCTTCGACACGTCCTTCCAAGAAGGACAGAGGATCACTGCGATGGTTAAGACATATTAAACAGAAAGAATAACGATCATAAACTTTTATTCACACAGAGAAAATATTGGTTACTAGAATGAATTCGTCAAGTCGATAAGGTGCCTTAAGTGTAAATTACATTCTAAAGAACGTGACTAACAAACAAATGAAAGTGAACACAGTTTTCCTCTGGCTTTAACTTGATATTTTCCAAAATTAATATAGTTACATTTTATTCGTATATTACTAATAAAAGTGGATTCTAATACATTCCTAATGGATCTATTTTCAAGTTTGGGTAAGCCACAGATGAATTAGTGTATTTCTCAGGAAATTATTATATAACAGATTAATAATTAAGCCTAAAAATCAAGCGAAGAGAAGCCCCTCATATTGCAGTTTACCAAAACCAAGCATATTTGATGAATGATCACTGGCAGTGGAATTCAAGAGGTGCATTTCGTCCTATTTGGAAGTCTCACCTGGCTCCCCAGTGAGCGATGGGGTATCAGTTATTACCTGTTTAAGTTTACCTTGTTCTTCCTCCTGATACCCATTGTACAAGCGACGGCTCCACTGGCCTAGTGAATAACGCTTTGATGTTTGAAACGATGGACACAGAGGTCAAGTCTCAGTGGGGACACAATTAATTAATGGAAATACAAGTGCATCCAGTTGACGAGTCTCAAACAAGGAGAAATGTGATTCCCACATCTCACTGCTAGTCTCCATCTACCGAGTAATATCTCATGTTAACCCTCGAATATCATCGAACCGTCTGTAACCAGGAGGCAATACGTCAACAGACACTAGGCGCTTCGGTTCAATGAAATTGATTAACTTAAAACTAAACATAGTTGATCAATAGTTTGAATAGTAGTACCATAATTCCCAAAAGAACTCAACATATCCATGTCACTAAATAGTCAAGAAATGGAATTCACCATCTAGAGAAGGTGATATTTTAGCCTGAATAACATTTGTTCAAGTTAATCATATTAAGAATTCTACTTATCTTTGAAACACATTTCATTATCTTTTTTTATTCCTTCACTTTCCCAGTGGAACATATGGCGCCTTCTAGCTAGAGCCTTGAAGTTTCGGTAGCAGTCAGTGGTGTTTACTATTACGGGATGGGATTGCTAGCCTCAACCTTCCCTCTTTACCAGTCTTATTACTGGCTTAGCGGAGTAAAGGAGTGCGCCGACCGGGAATCGAACCCCGAACCACATATGTGGTCGGCGAGCATTCCACCACTGTACCCCGATGACATACGGAGTACTGACTGAAATGAGATGTTAGAAACTACTCACACCAATCAGTACGGCTCACACTGGTGGCATTCGGCTATCAACCAAGGGACATGTATACTGCTCAGCAGTTCGCTCCGTCCTTCTCTATGTTGGTGAGACGTGGCCATTGAGAGCGGAAGACATGAAGAGATTGTCTGTTTTTGACCACAGATGTTTACGATCTCTTTCTCGCGTTAGGTGGTATAATAAGGTAAGTAATGTTGACGTTAGGCGTAGAGTGTTGGGCAAAGAGGGAAAATTAATCGAAGAGGCTATAAAATTACATAGATTGAGATGGCTAGGTCACGTGCTGCGCATGCCTAAACATCGTCTCCCCCTCCCGACAGGCATTACTAGCTGATATAGGTGCAGGTTGGAAAAGAGTAAGTGGTGGCCAAACAAAAACATGGCCTCATCAATCCATGAAATCCTTGACAGTTAAACTGAGTCAGGTAGGGAGGGAGATGCAGACTTCTGGG